GGCATCAGGAGAGAAAGTCGACAAGGGGGAAGCTGGCAACTTGTTTCTTGAAGGGGGACCTGGAGGTTCTTGCCGACAGAGTGGTGGACAGGAGTTAGCCTGGTCAAATATTGCCACTAAATCAGTGCCATCTTTAGAGTGAGGAAGACTGAACTGGTGTTCAGGAAGGTGGTCAATGATCTCCCCCACCCTGCCAAGCTAGTAATATTTTGTAGTATTCTGTTCTCTGCTGCCTCATCTCTGACACCCCTCTGTTACATGCAACACCTTCCCTCACACTCTTCATCCCCATCCTCCCACATCATTAACCCTCCATGCTGCCTCCTCAGTCCTTTGGAAAACCTCAACATCTTTTCCCTATGTGCACCATCCCTAAAAGCCTTGCCATCCACTTGCATCTTACTCATTCACTCTATTTATGTCAATACAGGAGGAGACATCCCATAACAGGGCTTAGCAATGCCACCGGGGTGGGATGGGGGCTTGGTTGCCGGATGACTGCACCAATTGCCAGTAAGGGACTGCAAGGCAAGCATACTGGGACATGCCAGTAGTTACCCAGGTGAATGTGCAAATGAGAAGTCTTTGTGGATTGTTTTGTAAAAGTCATGCAATGGGTTCCTTGCCCATGCAGTACCTGAACCCAATGCAGCTGTAATCTGCTGGTTACTGGTGTGCTGTGCTAGACCAGTTTAACCCTGCACAGTGCTAATGAATTGGAGGATGCCAGGATGGTAGCAATGCTTCCCTGAAAATGAGTGTCAGTGTCTGTGGTGGAAGGGTATGTGCGGCTGGTGCTGACTGATTGTGCCCTGCTCTCCAGTTTGTCCATGGCTAACATGAGACAAGCAGTGAGTTGAACTGGCTAAGTAATAGCACTGGTTTCCATGTTAGGTTTTGCTGATGGCTAGTTTGTATGGCGAGTTTGGTAAGATCGCTACCCAGAGTGAATTGGGCTGTTACCAAGCAATGAAAAGCACTGATTGGGAACTTGTCACTCCCTGGTGAGAATTTCAGCACGCTGTTACGAGCAAAGGAGTGGGGGACATTGCAGCAGGACAATCTTACCCGATAAACTCATCTTGCCATAGTCTACAACCTTCAGAGTGTGGAAAGAGTCTACTCTTAAACGTGACCTTCCTGGGTCTGAAGCCACGTACCTGAGCTCAATGAATATTTGGAAATTCAACAAGTTGGCTTATACAGGAAATATCTTCCTATAATTTAAAAAGAAAGAAAAATGGACAGGTCCTTTTATCAGCTAGAACCACCTATTTTAAGATCTGTTGCTCCTAGGTGATCCAGTGGATATGTATGCAAATCTACAAAACTATTCTTTAGGACTCCCATTTGTATAAAATTTATTGGAAGAGTGTAACATTGAGATGGAAAATAAAGAAAGAAAATCATCTACCATTACTTTGAGAGTTTCTGTTTAAAATGGATGTATGGAGTGTGTTGAGAAATGCTTAAATGAACAGGTATGAACAGTTTTCCATAAAGACCACATATTAAAGCAAAGTCTGATGATTCACTTAAGTTAGCAATAAGAATGGAGTACAACAGTTACCCGTGTTAGTATAGCATCACCACAAAAACTGTGCAAACGTTTATTTTATTTTTGATTCAATCGCAGGAAATGTGGTGACAGCAAGGCCAGCTTTTTGTCACCCATTCCTAATTGCCTATGAGAAGCATTAGTGGCCCACCTTTTGAATACAGCTGGGTGGCTTGCTAATCCATTTCAGGGGATAGTTGATAATCAATCATATTCCTGAGTCTAGAGTCACAAATTGGCCAGACCAGGGAACTGTTAATACTCCCTGCAAATTGCACAGTAACCCAAAAGTCCCCAAGCACGAGTTGGCTTCTTTAAATCACAGCATATGCATTGCTGCAGAAAGTAATATAAAAGGGACTACACACCAAAATAAATCACCGGCAATAGAAGACAAATTATACTGTGTGTTGGTAAAGACGGCAGATTACCTTCTTTAGAAGGATATCAGCAAAACCAAGGGATTTTTACAATAATCTGGTAGTTCTATGGCTATCATTATTGATATCAGTTTTTAATATTCTAGAATTATAAACTGAAATTTAAATTTCCAGCTGCCATGGTGGGATTTGAACTCATTTTTAATAACATAACTATCATGATACTTATCCCCATCCTGGAGAATGTGTACTGAGGTCATTTGCCATTAGTATTATATCAGAATGGACAGGCCAGCATAAAATCACTGGTTTGCGCAGTTAACATTGCCTTAACACAACAAACTACCCTGAGATGCTGCTTCAAAGACAACTGAAGAACTGTGTATAATGAGGTTTAGGATCTGAAAGGAGGTAATAATCAAGCTGTGTTAATTAATTTGTACTGTCCTGCAGTACAAACTATAAAAATAACTCACATTGTAGTGTCATTTGCAGTGAAAGAAGGCTGTAGGCTGTACAGACCTTACAGCTGCCAACAGGGGGCATCACAGAGGCAATGTGTTTCAGTGTCCATTGCTGTATTAACTAGAAAACCAAAGTCCTCTTTGGCCACATGCTCACCTATGTATACAATTCAACTGAAGCAGCAGAACACCACTAGTGCATATCAAAAGTAATTGTCTGTCCTACACTATCAAAATGATCATTCTTTCTTTGGAGTAACTTGTCAGAGGACATCCATACCAGTTTCTGAATGTTCCTGCCAAATCTGACAGCCACAGTAATAGATCAACAACCCACATGATAAATGAAAACTTTCACATTTTGGTTTACCCAAGTGAATGGTGATGGACCAGCACCAAAAGTCACAAAGCAAAAGAAAACACACACCTCCAGCCTACATCTGATTGATAGCTGACTAAATACTGAAATAATTACAGAAAATAGTTATGACACTGAACGTGGAAATGTTCTCTGAAGTGACTTAGGTGACCCAACCTTGAGTGACTCATTCAGGAAGTAAAAGGTAACAATCAAGCCAATTAGTTTGAACATAGCATAAAAATGAATATATGTTCATCTATTAAAAGGTACTTCTTTGGCTTAGGCGAGGGGAGGGGAGGAAGAGAAGGAGAGGTGAGTGTTCTTTGGTGAAAAGACACTCATTAAACACCACTCTTTCCTGTCACTCAGCCAATTTTGTATTCATATGTCTATTGTCCATTATTCTATACGCTGTAACTCTGTCCACAAGTCTATTATGGGCCACATTATCAAATGCCTTTTGAAATCCACATACATCACATTACTAGCACTGCCCACATCAGCCCTTTGATACCTCAAAAAAAAGCAAACAAGTTAGTTAAACACAATTTGCCCCCAGCAAATCTATACTGGCTTTCCTCAATTATTTACCCAAGTGTTATTAATTTAGTCCTGAACTATCCTTTCTAGAAGTGGCATGGTTGCTCAGTGGTTAGCACTGCTGCCTCACAGTGCCAAGGACTTAGGTTTGATTCCATCCTGGGGCGACTGTGTGTGGAGTTTGCACATTCAGTGTCTGTGTGGGTTTCCTCCAGTTGCTCCCACAGCCCAAAGATGGGCGGGTTACGTCAATTGGCCACGATAAGTTACTCTGTAATGTCCAGGGATATGCAGGCTAGGTCGATTAGCCATGGTAAATGTAGGGTTACAGCGTGATGGGTCTGGGTGGGAAGCTCTTCAGAGGGTCGGTGTGGGCTCAATGAGACTAATAGCTTGCTTCCACACTGAGGATTCTTTGATTCTCTGGCAATGAGGTTAAACTGACAGGCCGGTAGTTCCAGGACATCTGTTTAACATTTTGGCCAGTCCGCACTATAACCAAGTTTAGAAACAGGGAGACAAAGTGGGGAGTTGGGTGTTTGCCCTGTTTTGATATACAGTACTGTCTGGACAGTTCTCTCCCCTCTTGCTGACGGCAGCTTTCCTCTTGTTGAAGAAGTGAGCTTCCCATCCCACTCTGAGGTGAGCACTCATTCCACATTCACTGGGCTGGAATGAGAACTCCGGGCTGTGCAAAAATACCTGTCACCATTAATGGACAGAGAAACGGAACTAACGTCTCAAGGCTAGTACGGCTCTTCTGAGCCCAATGTGGAGAAGTCATATAGGACTGGAAATGTTAATTCTCTGTTTCTCTCTCCACAGATACTGCCAGACCTGCTGAATTTCTCCAGCATCTGTATTTTTTTCCTTTCATTTGTCGAAAAAAATCTGGTAACAGTCGATATTAACATTTACTTATGAGCTTCACTGCCTATTTTACAAAAAAAAGTGTTGAAAACGTATCGTTGTATTTGCATGCCGTAAAACTACACTCCTGGAATCTATTTGGAAAGGACGAAACAGCATCCTGGATTATTTTAGGGGAGATGATAAGGGCTGGAGTGTTCCCCGCACTTAGACCAGAAACAAAAGCCTATTTCCAAAGCAGTGACAGCAAGCTGCAGTACATATCCCCGGATTTTCACGCACATTAGATCGGAACGTCTCGTTAATCTTTTTAAAAAAAGTCCGACTTTTCTCACGAATAGACACGCTGTTTTATGATGCAGAACGGATAGTAAAACAAAAATCCGTGAAGGCACGCTCTGGGCAAATATGTCCTTAGTTTCTCACAAACCAGTCAGCTGAAGAGCAAAACAAGCAAAGTGGATTTTGTTCATTTGTTTAAAATCTGCTTAAAGTCGGTATGTGACTCTCGATCAGAATCTAACGTGCGTAAGTAGAATTAGAAGTGAACGAGGCAAAGGGGCGGGGGGTTTAGCCAAATGCACACACACAGTGACGCGGAGGGGCACAGCGCTGGTCAGGAGCTAGGGAAAGGCCGGCCAGTTCCGCCGGCTCCACCTTCACCCCCCGGCCAGCTCGAGGACTCCAGCACCTCCCCTTCCCAACAGCACAGAAACAGCAGATCCTACCAATAAACCCTAAAAACAAGTTCGTCACAGCACTTCCAAAATAAACAACAAAAATCTCTGTCAAAGAGTTTGTTTCCAAACAAAAGGGTCAGATTTCACCTTGGGATGAACTTAGCTTCGTCCCCCAACCTTTGCTGGAACTCATCCCAGTCAGGGTCAGCGCCCAGAGACGCCAAGTCGCTCATCTCGGAAACTTCTTGAAATCCTTCGGTGAACTCGTGGAAGTTGATGGAGCCGTCCCTGTTCGAGTCCAGTTTGCGGAAGATCGTGTCGATGTGGGACTCGTTTACTTGTAGCTCCCGACAGACTGTGAAAAACTCTTCATACTCGATCTGACCAGAATGGTTAATGTCACAGGCGTGGAAAAGTGCGCGCAGTCTCGGCTCCTTTTCTTCCATCCGGACATAGAGAAGGGGCGGGCAGGGGAAATAAGATTTAAAAAAAGCAGAATCCAACCAGCTGAGTTCCCCACCCTGTCAGCACCTCCCTTGATGCAAAGGATGCGGTGAGACTATGACCATCCTTTCAGGAACTCCCCCTCTCATTCCTGCACCTCGGCTCATTTTTTGTTTTGGTAGCGAATCCGATTTGCCAAGCAAAGCAGCTGAAATTAAAGCAGGTTGCAGCACTTTGATGGAGTTGATTGCGGGATGGAGGGTTTTTTTGGTATTGCTGGGCAGGGCTGAATCAGGCAGCTCCCAAAGGGCGCCATGTCCCAGAGCAAGAGCTCACCTGTGTGTGTGTGTGTGTGTGTGTCTCTCTCCCTCCCCCCCCCCCGAACGGGAAAGGTCAATCCGCCTTTACGTCAGCCTCACAACCGGACCTACCTCTCCAATTTATTGGTTTAAGGTTGATTTGTGCTCTCTCTCTCTACGTGCGGTGCCCACGTTATTGACCCAAGAGGTGGAGGTGTTGCATGAAATGGGATAGCTGAATGACAGGGAGCAGAACTGCGGGGCGTTCCCAGTCATTCAGAAAGCAACAGCCTCACTTCACTCTAGACAGTCTCTTCTGGACCCAGAGAGGACACTTTATTCTGTAAATCAGAAATGTTCAGGGGATGTTTCCCACCATCAAAGTTGGATGAACATTATTTTGCTAGAGCAGGAAGGATCCTGCGGTGCACTGGTAGTATCCCTGCCTCTGAGTTATATAGGCTTGGGTTCAAGTCCTATCTGTTCCAGAGGGATGCCAGAAGGAAACTATTCAGTTTTGGCCTCACAGCTTTTATAGGGAAAAACTGCTTAGGTCTTAGAGGGACTGATTTTTTGCTAGGAAGGTGAGAAACAGCAGTCCAGACCATTTTAGAGTCTCAACCAAACACCTGGGGGCAATCCAGAAATGTACCCCAAATTTCACAGAGGCAAACACCAAATTGATAGGAAAGATAATTAACAGTCAGGAGTAGAGGTGGGCCAACTCATATGTTTATGACCTGATAGCCATTCCAGAGACAACCCACCTGCAGAATGTTCAGCTGCTTCAAGGAGCAGGAAGATTGGCAGGTGAGGAACCATAATTGGGCAGGAGGCTAAAATTAAAGTTCGCGGGATGAAGCAAAGCAATTAAGTTCAGCAACACTTGAAACTCCTTGGCACAAGCTCAGGAATCCCATTTTTAGATCACGCATGCTAATTAAAAGGCAATCTCACCACAATTTGGTGCCCCTTCTCAATTAAGTTGTTCACAAGCAAGCATTACTCGCCTTCCAGTTCCCAGCTGCATATCATTGGTGTGCGGCACACGAGCTTTCCTCCTGGAACAGTGTTGATCAGTGACTGGAGGTGATGCTTGAGATCAGGAGGTTAGGGATGCTGGCCAAGGGAGGGAGGCATATCAGGAAGGAAAGGAAGGTCCTTGTGTTTGGATGTTGGGATCATGTGAAAGCCGAGGGGTGCAGTCTTCAAGCAGGGATGGTGTGAGAAAGGATGAAGTAAGTGTATGGTGGGATCCTAGGGATTGAATTGAATTGAGGAAACTGGGCAGCAGAGAGAACAGTGACGGAAGAAGTTGGATGCTTTGAATTGTCAAAGTTATCTTTCAGTAGCATATAGTCTCATGGTGGGAGAGAGGGTTCACAGAAATGGGGAAAACAAGTGGTGCAGACAGCAGGAAAGGTCAGGACATGGGTGCAAATGGGTACAGTGATAGAGTGGGCTCAGTGATGGGTCAAGGGTAACAGGGAGAAGAATTCCCACTGGATGAGTCAAGGCTGATAGGAGATTTTGCTGGGTGACTGGAGAAGAATAGAAGGTGGTGGAACCATGTCTGCAAGGTAACACATACCACTGTCGTACTCTCAACAATGAAGTGGGAGTAGGGTCATTTCAGGTGGATGAAGTTAAAGCTGAACACAACTGGCTGACTAAAGGAGCATTAATAATCATGAGTGAACTGAATAAGAACTATGCAATCTTAAAGTCACAGAAATACAATCATATCTCACCAACATTCTACAAATTGGGACTTCCAAAGAACACTTATGTGCACACCAGCAATGACTTAGCTGCAGATTAGCTGCTGTTGCTGCCCAGACAGTGACCTCTTAGGGATGATAAATGGGTGATCACTACCTCATGGATTGGCAGATGTATGCCATGGACTCAACTTTACAAATGATGCCCAAGGTTCAATCCTACACATGTCAGGATATTCAAAGATGCCACTACTGATGATGAAACACAATAAATGGTGTATCCTTAAGCCCACATCCTCTGAGACTAATTGGCAACAGTATGCAAAGCAACTAGCAGCATGATGAAAGTATACAAATACATGATTAAAGTGGAATGAAATATATATTTACAACTGCATTACATATATATGTGATTAAATCCCTGTATACCATTACTGCCCTTATAATGTCTTAATCTTTCTTTTCTGAACACATGCCCAGGTACAGCCCTGAAGTCCACAATTGAGTTGGAGGCAGTTCGCAGACTGCTACATCTATTTGTTTGGGATGATCGTGGTAGCTGTCCTCTGGTGGTCCAAGCCCTAGAGAGCTCCAGCCTGCGGTAGGGTTCTAGCTTACTGCACTGTTACAGGTGCATCCTCATTGGCCTCATCTGCTGAGACAATGGCGTCACTGGCAGAGCGGAGGTTGAAAGACAGGATCCCCTAGTAATGCCCTAGGATAAAATCCCCAAGGTGCTTTGTTGCTCCATCTCCCCACTGTAGTTGCATGCAGGCACCTCCCTGACTCCTTGAGGGAAAAGGGTGCTGATGGGAGGTGAAGATACCTCATTCACCCCTTGCCTCGCCGTTGCTGCACTGCGATGATGGAGTGCAGATCTGAATGCCTATCTGTCAGCCACTGACTACTTGAACAGATCCTTCAAGTCAGTTGACACCCTCTTCATGGGGGGAGCTAAGAGCTTATATGCGAGCATCATGATATGACTGATAACATAGCCAGAGTCTCCAGGCGTTGTTTAAGTCAACATATGGCCTCTGGCATTTTTGCCTGATATTCCCCTGTCTGTCTCTGCATCATTCATCTCTTACAGCCAAATCCAAAGGTTCGTCAGTTGTATGAGGATCAGCAGGAACCTCAGGCCTCCAAATGTCAGAGACCTCGGTGCACACATGTTCTGTCAGCAGTGGGCACATGTTTTTGATGTGCTCACCATGTTTGCATTGATGGAGGGTGTGGGGGATGCTGTGATTGTACTTCCTGTTTATCCTTGGAGCCATCATCATTACAGGTGGTGCTCAAGGGCGAATGCTGTGTCTTCTGCACAATCTTGCTGCTGAACCTGTAGCGAAGAACAAAAAGAATTAGCCGATGGTTATGCAAAATCTTTTTTCTCAACAATGCTCAAGGCCTCAGTCCTCTATGTTCATTAAGTCACAGCAGACTGGAGGCATCCTCAATGGATTGCTGCAAGCCTGTGGTGTCTGCATCTGTGTGGGCTCAGTCCTGTTCCATTCCCACAATTTCCCAGTTCCCTCCTCAAAGTGGGTGATGAGATGTTGGAGATACGTCGTCCTGTCAAACTCAGCTCCCAATAATTGTTGAGTATTTGTCTGCAGACAAGTGAACAGATTGATTGATTATTATTCCGTGCATGCCTATAGCAGTTCCTGTGCCTACCCCAGTAAGGGCTGAAGACTCTCACTGTGTTGCAAGTGATATAACTTTCAGATAATGAGGTGACTCCCATAAATTCCTTCCAACTGCTACTAAAGCCCACAACCCAAACGCCTCTCTGACATCTTTCTGCATCAACATGTTTACACTTGTCTGTTGCTCTTATGTTTGTAAAGTTGCAGTGACTAAACAATGCCACTTACTCACGCAGAGCACAGCGTTCACCCTCTTCATACACTGGATTCAGTGGGTCTTACTGCCTTTGACCTCTATCCAGGCCATCTTGGTTCGATGGAAGGGCCTCCTGTTGCCATCTCTTGGAAACTGGACTTTTCACTTTTCTAGATGGCCTAGAGGAAAATCTGCAGCAAGGCCTCACTGAACCATGAGGCCACTCATTGTCTGCTCTGAGAGGTCATAATAGTTGCAGCTGTAGGATATCCACGGTGTTGTGCAATTGTCAATACCTCTGATTACAGCCACGTTGACACCTTTGGTTTACAAGGAATCACTAAATCCCTTTAAATATGGCACTAGCACTTTGACACTGTGAGCAAACTGTAGGATGCAGACATCTCGCCTGCTTCGTCTATAATGTCCCCCTTGCTCTTTGCGCATAATTAGCTGATCATTATATAATCACACAAGAAAAACTGTCCCAGCTACAAGTGGAAGGTCCTGTCTCTGATCTTCGGAAAGAGACTCCATTGATAGTTGCAGAGTGACTACGCATGGTACCTGAATATTGAAATGTTTTTATTGTTTTGAAAAGACTGGAAACTAGGAACATATTGTGGGGTCGCTCTGTTAATTAACTACATAATTTGTACAGTAATGACCTTAGCTCAAAACAGCAAGGTGTACAATCAGTTAAAGTAACAGCACTGTGGTGCATCTACACCCCGAAAACTGCAGTAGTTCAAGAAGGCAGCTCGCCATCACCTTCTCAAGTGCAATTTGGGAAGGACCGTAAATGCTGCCTTAGCCAGTGACAATTACATCTCATGAGCATTTTTTAAAAAGATACAGCAAGTGTGGGAGGTCACTTGTGTGAACTTGTTTAGTCACCCTCACTATTGTTACATTATAAGACAGAGTATACAAGAAATAAATGGGACATGTAAGAAAGGTATGACAATAATTATGGGTGACTTTAGTCTTCAAGGAGATTGGGTGAATCAAAGGCAGCCTGAAAAATAAGTTCAGAGTGTAACCAGAACAGTTTCTTAGGACAGTTGATTTTAGAGTCAACCAGCGACCAGGTTATTCTAGACCTAATAATAAACAAATGAGACAATCAATAATATCATAACAAAGGACCCTCCCATGTGACACCAATCATAACATGATAGAATTTCCTGTTCCGTTTGAAAGGCAAAATGTGTTTCTAAACCTGGTGCTTTAAACCAGAGTACAGGTAATTATAAGGGTATAAATGCAGAGCTATGTGAACTGGGAAACTAGATTAAAACGTAGGACATTAGAAATTTGAGGTTGTTGACTTGCTCGCCGAACTGGCTTGTTTTTTGTTCAGACGTTTTGTCACCATGCTAGGTGACATCATCAGTGGAGCGTCCGATGAAGTGGTTATTCTATTCCACTTGGAATTCTACTGAAGTTACTATATGTACATTTCTGCCTCAGTGT